AGTGTAATACAGGAACTAACTACTGTTTAACATGAACTTACTAGTGCATAGTAAGAGCTGACTAGTGTATTACAGGAACTAACTACTGTTTGACATGAACTAACTAGTGCATAGTAAGAACTGACTAGCGTATAACATTTCCTAACAACTGTATTACATGAACTTACTACCACAGTGCATGAACTAACTGTCAAAATTTGTAATCATGAAATTATCACTAGGAGGTGAGTTTACAATTATTAACGTACAAGCTGCCTCAGTTGGTGTCTCCACTGATTCATTACAGGGTGAGCTTGAGCCTGAACGCCTCGATGTGACAGCAGTGAACTGGTCAGGATCGTCATTGATTTCCAAGGCAGCATTCATCAGTGCCTCAGCGTTAGGGAAGTCATCACCTATATCATCAGATGAATTCATAATAATATCTAACAATATACAATAAAAAAGTGTCAGTCGGATTAATGACAGAAGGAGAGCTGGATAAATGAAAATAGGTCAGTTTAACTCGCTCACCATAAAGTTAGAACAGGTGATATAGTAAGAACAGGACATGTGACAAAGTGTCAGCTGATCTCAGGACAAAGAGCAGGACTCCCAGCCAGTAAGATCGATACATAATATACTTGTGACAGAGTGCCAGCTAAACTCAAGATGAAGTGTTCACTTTACTAATGACAAAGACATCTTAAATAACCTAAACTGAAGACAAAGTGAGAACAGCATTCATGACCAAAACAAAATTGCCAAATAAAGTGTCGTCTGGATTTCGCTATTCTGTCCATTAGATATAAACAGTGTTACTAGCAAACTGAATCTAGTACATACCAATATCCTCCATCCTGTTTCTGATGGCTTGCATAACCACATTACGGTTCATTCCAGTGTCCAGCACAGCTCGGACCATTGGTAGCTCCATCCGTGCCTTAATCTCTCTTTCCTCGATAGGGAAGCGCTGACCTGAAAACAAGAATAAATTACAATATCACCAGATGTCTTTTGTATTGAATTCAGTAAAACATTTACATAGGGTTTGACAGTGAAATTTTCCAAATGAAATCAATTTACCTGCACGTCTTTTTCTTCCTCTGTTAACAATGCTCTGTAAAGAATAATAGAAGAGGCAAAGTTTAATATACTTTACATTCATGGTCATCAGGCATGATCACATCATAATAATATTTCTACCATCTGAACCCAGTTGTCCAAAGTGTTGTTATTAAACCAGACAATTAAAAACTTTAACGAATCATTAATTAAAATTTCTCAAAAACTGAATTTTGAAAATTTGATCTAATAACTGGTTAAAGCTACAGAGGTGAATGAATGACCGACTGCAAATGTTTTGTAATATACACAAATCATAGAAAACTTCTGATACATTTTCCTTGGTATTGTGACTTTTAACAGTAATCATGAGTGAAATGTCTTTCATGAAAAACATGAACATTATGGTTTACATGATCTAATTATAACTCTCATTAGAGAGCCTCTGTAGATTTGCAACGCAGGATAATGTTTGAAATGAGTTGGTTGTCACTCCTCTGTAACCATCAAAAGGTAGATATAAGCATAGCAACTGGCAATTCTGTCAATGTTTTTTTTTTATATTTAACCAATCAAATAGCTAACCTCTTACGTATACCTTGCATTTTGCCAGGACATATTCATGGGTGCAGAGAATATAAATCCGCATGGAATTTCGAGGATGGCTAGCACTGGACCCTTCATAATTACCTGTTGTGTGCCATAATTTAACTCTTTACTACCTGTTGTGTGTCAGTGTCAGTAACTCTTTATACTTACATATCACATAACAATGTTAGACCCCTAATTATGTGTTACATGTATGTGCCATTGTCGCTTTTACCTGCTGTGTGCCATGTAAGACCATGAATTATCTGGTCTATACCAGTGTCAGACCCTTAATTACCTGTTGTGTGCCATGTTGGACCATGAATTATCTGGTCTGTGCCAGTGTAAGACCCTTATTTACCTGTTGTGTGCCATGTTGGACCATGAATTATCTGGTCTGTACCAGTGTCAGACCCCTAATTACCTGTTGTGTGCCATGTTGGACCATGAATTATCTGGTCTGTGCGAGTGTCAGACCCCTAATTACCTAATGTTGGACCATGAATTATCTGGTCTGTGCCAGTGTCAGACCCCTAATTACCTAATATTGGACCATAAAATTACATATTGTGTACCAGTGTTGGACGATTAATTACTTGTGTTGTGTGCTTGTGTTGGATCATTTATTACCTGTTTCAGGAGTTTGTGGCCATTAATTACATGTTTGTGTTGTTTGCCAATGTTAGGTCATAAATGACATGTTTTATTGTGCCAGTGTTGGACTATTAATTACTGTTGTTTGCCAGTGTTGGACCACTGAATACCTGTTTTGTTCCAGTGTTGGACCATTATTTATTTGTCTTTACCAGTGTTGGACCATTGATTACCTGTTTTACGAGTGTGTGGCCATTATTTATATATACCTAATGCTTGCCAGTGTTGGACCATTGATTACCTGTTTTATCAGTGTGTGGCCATTAATTACCTGTTCTGTACCAGTGTTGGGCCATTAATTACCTGTTCTGTACCAGTGTTGGACCATTAATTACCCATTGTTTGCCAGTGTTGGACCATTGATTACTGTTTAATGCCAGTTTTGGACCATTAATGACCTGCTATGTGCTTGTTTTTGACCATTGATTACCTGTTGTGTGCTTGATTTTGACCATTAATTACCTGTTGTGTGCTTGCTTTGGACCATTAATGACTTGCTATGTGCTTGTTTTTGACCATTGATTACCTGTTGTGTGCTTGCTTTGGACCATTAATTACCTGTTGTGTGCTTGCTTTGGACCATTAATTACCTGTTGTGTGCCACTATTAAACCTGTCCTGTACTGACTGGATGTATGCCTCGCCCTTAACACTACGGACAAATGGACATTTTGGGAACCATCGGGCATGTTCTTCCCATGGGTTGTCTCCTGGTTCCCAATTTTTTAGGCCACCATCACAGTAAAAGCACTTCACATTGTCTCCAAAATCTGTAAAATTAATGTAGTACACATTTTCAGTATAAACATTTCACATGGTCCAGAATTCCATATACACATGTAGTAAATATGAATTGAATTTGAAGCCTCATAATAATTTTACATACACTCACGCCTGTATCCAGAGACCCACCTTCAAAAATCCATAAATTAAAGTGGTCATAGAAAGCAACAGCCTCTTAATACAGGTTTCAGTCAACATGAAAATAGATACAAAAGAGAGTTTTACACGTGGTCTCTTTCCACAGTTGGTCACTCTATATACACATAGATGGTTTCTCAAGCAGGTTTGACTATTCGTTAACAATCTCTATTAATTCATTGTAAATATATATAGTATTTACCGTTATTTCCCTGTCTTCACACTTAATACTGATGCGTATGACAGGCCATTGCAGTAAAGTAATTATTGTTTGTATCCAAAAATATTGAGCAAAGTAAGATAATCAGTCATCACAAATGGGACTTACTGGCATAGAAGAACCCAGCCTTCGAGAGAAACTCTGGCGTCTGGTGTTTGTAAGTGGGCCAATTCCTGAAGGAAGACAGGCGTGAGGCTTCTATAGCGTAGGTTGGATGCTTCGGTCTGTCTGTGTTGATACCTAGAGCCTCCATTTGTGATGGGGCCTGCTGGGAGAACCTTGAATTCTGATTGATAGTGTTATTAACTCCCCGAGATGTCTGATTAGGGGAGTACGGAATATTCCCAACATCCATACCTAAAATGAATGGACATCGTGGAAATTTGTTTCTATGTTCAATATGAACAACATCACCTGGATCCCAACCTTTTAGAATACCACGACAATATATGCACTGAACACGATCTTCTGAGCCGACATAGTAAAAGCCAGACCTTGCAAGGTCCCGAGTGGTCACAGGAGAACTCGAAGGCCATGTTCGATATGTCTCTAGTCTGTTTCTTTCAAAACGCAGGACACCTGGGTCCCTCTCCAGCACTGCCCTTTGAGACACTGAAGTATCAGGTTGAGATGGGCCTGCTATTCCTGGATTAGACACTCGCTCCAAACCAGATGATCTAGAATTAGAAACCCTCGCTGAACCAGATGATTCTGGATGAGAATTCCTTCCTGATCCAGGGGATCCCCTTGTTCCAGGATTAGACATCCTCCTCAAATCTGTAGTGTCTCTTGGTCTTTCTGGATGTCCTAATGTTGCAGAAGCTGCTTCTGTTTTTGGTCCTGCAAATGAACTTTCAACAGACTGGCTTCTCTGATCTAACTTTCTACGATTTGCAAAAGACGTACTAGAGCTTGGGATCTGACTGGCAGCCCCTTGTTCACTATCAGTCATATTAGCTCGAATCTCTGGTGAACTTGGTATTCTCTGAGGAAACCTTTCGGGTGAATGACTGATGGAAGGGCTTTTACGGACCCTTGTAGAATCATTTGGAGGCTCTAGTGACCTGGAACGGTTGAAGTCTCCTCCGTTAGGGGATAATGGTGAGCGAGACCCCTCAGGTAAACTGGTTGAAGAACCAGTTCTCGCTACTGGTTGTGATGAGTCCAACAAATGTCTTATTTTATCAAATCTGTCAGGCAAGGCTCTATTAAAAATGGGTATTGGAATATTAGTAGTACAGCTACCATCGAGAAACGGACATCTAGGATTAAATTTTTTATGTTCATCAAAAGGTATCTCTCCTTTTTGCCAATGCTCCTTGACAAAGTCACACTGAAAGCATTTGACAGTCTGTCCACTCCCTACATGGTAAAGACCTGCTGCAGCAAATCTAATAGCAAATACTTGGTTGTCCCTTGGCCAATTCTGAAAGCTATCTAATCGCAAAAATTCAAAGTTCATAAAACATGTATTATCAGATTGTGGATAATCTAACTTGCGTTCAAAATATCCTCCCAATGAATCTGACAGTGGTGTGTCATTCAACATCTTCACACCAGTGCACATTGGAGGGTAATTAGTGTCTTTGTGAAAATAAGTATTGAAACCATGAAATCACTTCTTCTAACTTCAAATTTTCTGAGGAATCAAATAAGATAGAACTAATTGTGGTATCACTTTAAAATGCATTCCATAAATTTTGTATTATATTGGCTTGTAAGAAAACTGCAGCCAAGATTTGAAGCTGTTTTATGACAGATGACAATATTGCACATTTCCACAAGGAGTATGATAAACTTACAATTCTTTAACACAGCATTTACACAAGAGCATTGTTTGTTACAGCTGTTTACATTATTTGTTCAAAGAACAAAAATGACACAAGCACAATACGAATGCAACAAATAATTCAAATAGGACATCCCTTCTTGGAGGTCCTCCAAAACAATTTAATTCTTCACTTAGTTCCAAATTATGCTGAACAAGATCATGAGGATTGAAGTTGTCTTCTGTAATGTTTCCAGCTTCTACAGCTGGTTGTGCTATGATTGTTTTAGCACTCTGATTGGCCGATGATCTAACTCTCAAAGAATCTGATTGGTCTCTATGTACATTATGCAAAGATTCATTAACATCTATGATCTCTGTGTTGTTGGCATAGAGAAAGACAACAGAGAATCGGTTGAAGAGGTCAGTGTCTGTGCTGGGTTCAGAGTGAGCATTGTGGTCTTGAGCTTGAGCTGTTAGGGACAACCATGGTATAGTCATGGTCAGTGTCGCCTCCTTCACTGGTCATGATATACCTGAAATATTCAAACAAGATTTAATTAGTATTATGTTATGATGAAAATAATATGCAAAACATTTCTATTCCGTTTAATATCATTATGTCTAGTGTTCCGGGAGACCACAAAACAAGATGAACTACACTTTGGTTATACGAGTGACATCTCCAATGTCCCAAAGCTGAGTACAATGACCTTACATTAACACAATGTGAGCAATTAGTTCAATCCAAGATGTCCAATGAACTGGTATATGTACAGTGGTATTATAAATATATGTAATCATATTTCTGCAAAACACTACTCAATCCTTTCCCCACATTTACGTTCATCATATAATTTGCTTCCCAAAAACAATGAAGGGCAAATAATATCAAGGCCAGCGTTTTGATTTTAAAATAATTGAATCCGATGTGATAAAATTAAATGCATAGATCAATTTATGATGTGTACTGATCAGTCTAGAATTTAGATTTTACACACAATAGACCATACAAATATAGGTCTATGAGAAAATGAAATATAGATTTCTTATATTATTCTCGACCTACTGAAATTTTGATAGACCAGACCTTGACGAAGAAACTTTTGCTCATATATTCAGTTATTTTACAGAGCACTTTTGAACTCACTACATGTACTGTTTTTATCATTGAATTAATTTAACCATACAACTAGAATCTTTGAAGTAAATTTCTCCAGTAGACCTACATGATTTTTTCATGGCGATTAATTGTCTATGGGTCTACTGATAAGTTTGAACCATGTGTACCATGGCAAAAGGCTCTAAGGCTACAGGTGAAAGTTTGGGGAGTGATAGAAAAGATTTTTGGAATGGTCTCCTGAATATTTTTTAAATTTAGGAGGTTTCAGATGTTTATAGTCCCAATCAGAAGATCTGCAAAAGTGTTATAATATGAAGAAATACTGACACAATCTTTAGATCATGTGTGGATTCTTAGCGGATAATCAACAGATGTCCATATGTAGGATAGTCATCACAGCAGCAAAAATCTGCAGTATAACATGTTATGGGATCCTTTGGGATCCTTTTGAAATGCTATGCTTCATGTTTATGCATAATTAAACTTACTTGGTATACTGTACATGCAAAACATTTATAATGAAATTTTGTTTAGTATGCATGATTTACATATATATCTCCTCAAATGATTATTCCTGCAAATGAAAATTTGTAATTAATAGACAATATTGATCAATATATATGAACAATTTAACTATAACCTAGGCTATATTGACCTTTGATGTAACTTTGCCAAATTCATATAGCTACTCACTACCCAGGGTTGTTGCCCTAGTTGCCCGGGCAACACCCTTTTTTCTGTGTCCAAACAAATCTGGACCAAGGTTGTTGAAGAATTTCCTCTATTTCATATGGGATATCCTTGAACTATGATTTTCTATGGCTTCCCCTTGCCAGCAGTTTGAATATCTATATATGCCTAGGGGTGTTGCCCAAACAAGTGGACCACTACATATATATACTCTGAACAATAGGGGATTAATCCTCCATTGTCTATATATTAATAGGGTCAGTCAGGTCAGTGCATAGTCATGATCGAGGCTCCCCGTGCTGACTCTATCCAATCTTATTGTTCTAATGTCACAGTGTGGTGATCACCCTGTCAGTTGGGAAAGGACTAGACGATCTGTTGGAATTAGGTTTATAGGTAAAGTGTTATTTCAAAGGTAGAGTGTATTTCATGATAGATCGATATACTTGTATTTTCACCTGTGGTTTCAAGTACACATGTATGGTCATCAGGATTGATTTATTATACTAATTTAAAATATAAATTTTCAAAAATTTCAAAGACAATGAAGCACTCTCCTTAGCATCACTTTATCAGGTGAATAATAACCAATGTTGGCATCAAAGCCTGGCGTGTACATCCTTTTCATTAGGTGTTGCCATTGTACATATGTATGCATACTATTTCACAATAAAAAACAAACAGTTAAATCATAATCCATAATTATGACAATATAAATTATTATTTAATTGCCAAAATGCTGGCCTAAACTACATGTACCTGTAGATTCACGCGCATTATCTACAGAAAGCCCCTCCTCCCATTAATTTTGGCAAGTCACCATTTTAAGGGCCTGACACAAACATCAACATTTTAACCAAAAATCTACATTTTAATTATTTCTTTTAAAGAATGTATTATTAACACTCGCTCCGTTCAGCCATCATGAAATATAAACACTCTATGACAAAAATATAACCTTGAATAATACCGCAAACTCAGAAATCTATTCTACCTCACTCGATCTGTTTGTCAATGGAAATAATGTCTGATACATTCTTGCTTTTTACGCTCGACAGAGCTTGAAATAGTTAAGGATTAGGCCTACATCTTCAGGAAAATAAATTGCATAAGGGCTAAAATCTGTCTTTTTCTTGAGTTTGAAATTTTCTGCAACACCCAACATTTAATCCTGCTACCATAGGGACCTGAGAATTTGTTAACTTTATGTGGACATGAAAGGTGTTCAGAAAAAATACAAATTTAAGGGGTTTCTTTTTTTGTTGTACAAATATCAACCAAATGATAATATATAAGTTATAACCCTTAAACATGTAAAATAATTCCAAATACCTTGCTTAATTTTGGTCCGATAAAGCTATAAAAGACTGTTTGAAGGCATTCTTAACGAGAATCTTTGGGTGAAACGGCAAGGAATCTATTCCCATCTGGTTTCACTATTATCACAGTCCCTTTTTTGATGGTGTAACATATACCTAATTATTTCTTATGGTCTGTAATCAGGTCCAGTACACTCTGCCGATTAAGCTATATAGCTGTAAAGACCTATTATAGCTCTATTGACTTATCTGAAATAGGTCTTTTGAGCTATTTTCAAGTGATTTTCTTTTTTAAAGAAAACGAAACAAAGTCGCTTTTAAAAGAAGATTGTATCATTAGGTTGATAACAAAAGACATTAAATATAAGTATTCTTTTTAAAAAAATAGGCAAGTAAAAAATTCGGAAATTTTACATTTATGAAAAATGAAAATAAACATCTAACTGTATGCTCTTTGTAGTCAACATTACCATAAACCTTATTGTTTTATGCGTCTATGCTCTAGTTTAATGAAATTTGAAATCTAAAAAAAATATAGCTCAATACAGCTTTAATTTATAGGTGTATATAGCTCTTTATAGCTATAGGGCCTAGGCCTATAGCTCAATCGGCAGAGTGTACTGGACCTGGTAATGTCAAGACAGAGAACGACCCATTTTCTTGTGATTTCGCGTTTCATATTCAATCATATATATAGATATGTTACTTATTTACAAACATACAAGTTAAACACAATACCGTTTCCTTGGTAGTAAACCTCACTACGACCCCTTTCTATTTTGAATCTGGGCCTTCTACGGGACTTCCCCCTTTTCTCCGTCTCCTCAAACCGGTTAATACAAAATACGAAACAGTTGAAGAGTCGGTAATAGAGGCGGAAGAAAAAACAACACAGAAAAGACGGAATATTACAAGCCGAGGGAACCATTTTAAACGTCACATCCTATTTATAAGTTTATTAATGATATAGAAATTTAATTATAAAGTTTTTGATTTGTACAGATCCTCTGTTACCTGAAACGGAAATTGCAAACATAAGTTATCTCCCTTGCAGGAAGCGCCTTATGACTGTGCGTCATTTTCGTTAACCCACAACAAGACAACAGTTTATACTAGGCTATAGCTAGTAGCTGCACGATTACGAGGATGGCAACAACAGACCAGCAGACACAGCCCAGTCGCAGAAATCAGGTTTGCTGTTGTTTCTTCCGTTGCGATGAACGATGAGGTCTTTGTTGATTTATTTCTGTTTTTTTTTTAATTGTTTAGCGGAACTGGACTGGGTCCATCGTCGGCTCAATTGGTAGAGTATCCTTCTACCTGATAATAGACCTACTTCATCATATTGAAGACCATGTCGATGTTTGGGTTGTATTTATGTACAGGAAAAGAGACTGAAAATAGAGCTGATTTTGTAGAGAGGAGAGACGACTTTTAAAGGTTTCCAAAGTTTCAGATGAGACGGTCTGGTCAGATATCCCAGACTGGAACAACCTTCCACCAGACCATATAGGTGTTTGAAATTCTGACTCTAAATTGAGATAAAAATCATATACAAAAATAAGGGTATTACTATATGATTTTTATCTCAATTTGCAGTCAGAATTTCAAACACCTATGGTCTGGTGGAAGGTTGTTCCAGTCTGGGATAGTTCTGGGGAAAAGGGGCTAGTTTAGGTCGTCGAACATGTCACTAACACTGGATGTGATATGGTAAAGATCTGTTAGTGACAAGCCGCACAGCCCTCCGCTGAACCATGTCCAATTTATTTGTGTCACCTTTTTGGTATGGGTCCCACACGGTACTGGTATATTCCAAAGTTAGACGCACTAGAGATTTGTTTGCTTGTTCCTTTATTGTTTTAGAATTAATTTACCTATGAAGCTCACTTTGTGAGACTGCTTCCAGGGGGCATGACATCTAGCATTCACTATGATTTCGTACACAGAGCCTGTCAAAAGTATCTCGCCGTGTAAATCTCTAGCACTGTCAATCGGGTACCTACTAGCTGCGATAAGGTAGCTTTCTGACGATGAGAGATTTGTTTTTATATATTGCGTCGTCACAGCTACGAAGCGGTCCTATGCCAACTAATGGAGCAATTTAAAAGTGCTAATCTGTAAGATTACATATAATTCACACCTCATATGAGTATTATGTTATCAAAATATTGCCTGATTGTTGAAAAAAACAAATGCTTAGCAATGAAAAAAACGAAATTAGCCAAGTTTGTCTTGGTGGGGAGGGAGGGGGGATAGAAACGACCGCCATTATAGAAATACAACTGATGCCGCCATGTTTACTACAATTTCCATATTGGGTCATGACACTTATATATAGACATCTGACAATTCTGTAATCGTCAATATTGATGGAGGAATGTTGAAAGATTGAGATGAAGAAGATGAGGACCTATATCGGAAGAGAGACAAACTTTCCATCATGGTAGTCAATTCAGATTTCGATTGCGCTTGCTACATTAACATATTAAATAACGACATTTTAGGCAGAGTTTAACTTCAAGTTATACAGGATATCAACAGAAATAGTTCATACTATAACCCTATTTATGGATACGGACCAATGTGCTGTCAATTGATTATAAAATCGACCGGTGTGATTCTCACCGGGCTTGCTCCATTACAAGGCATGAGATCGATTTAATACCCGGCCGGGTATCAATATTAGTACTACATGTATTACCTGTAAAAAAAAATCTGTAAAAGATGTGCATTGATTAGGTTTCCTGACAAACGTCAGCTGTAGGGAATTTGCCTTTAACTTAGCCATAGAGCATCTGGCTGGATAGCCAAGGGTTGTACGGTTCAAGCCCCAGCGACAGCACGATTGTTATCACTACCGGGTATTCCTCGTCCTACTACAAACTGCATGGTGCTGTTAACCTCCCCATTCAAGGTAGGAGAACCCATGACGGGGAGTCAAAGAACCTGGGTTGGTGTTTTGAAGGGGGGGATAGAGTAAAGATATGCATTGATGAGGTTGCCTTACAAGTGTCAGCTGTAGGGAATTTCCCTTTAGCTCGGAGGGGGGGGGGCGCACTGTTTCAGGTGATGGAAATCCTGTTGGAGTAATACTTCTCTTTAAGATCTGATAACAGTTAAATAGTTAGGTAAACGGTTACAAATACATGTTTAAGGTTGAAATTATTCACATTTTATGTCTTCAATGAAATGGACTAGTTAATTATTTTAATGTTAATGATGAATCATTATATGTATTTTTTTATGTTGGTTGTATTAAAGGTGATGGTAGGAGAGCTACCTGAGGATTTTCTATGCATGCCTTCAAGTACAGTGCAACAACAGATGATAGCTGACGGCCGGGTGGCTCAGGTGCTGCAGGCCCAACAAGCAAGGGGCTTCTCAGCTATTCCAACTAATGTCTTAGGAAAACTCAACATCAGCATCATACAGGTACTGTCAGTGTAGGAACAAATCCTTCTTAAACATACCAGAATAAGGTGTTTAAGGATTTTTCCAGTTAAAAGTTAAGGAAAGGGCACTTAATACAGGAAATGCTATTCTTTATACAATGTGTTAACTAGGGGTGTCACAATATGCCAAGAGTGTATCACAATATATTGCAATACATAATGGAAATATTGCTATACATATCCCATTTATTGTCATAGGAAGGATGTGCTCATTGTTGTCAGAATGATATCAAACTTAATCTTACATATTATGGATTACATAGATTTGAAATTTCTGTCAAACCAACCATCGATTACAAAATTTGAACTATTAAAAGCCTGTTTTATGCTTATTGGCATAACTGTTAGAATTTGTAGTAATTTGTTAAGATACCAAGCAGATACATAAAAATGTGCTTTGAAAAATATTGCAATACAGCAATATTTCGTCTCTGTATTGTGGTACGATACAATATGCCTGTGTATTGCGTTATACCCTTTTTCCCGATACATTGTGACAGCCCTAGTGTTACTGTTAACATTCTCGAATTGAATTGAACGCAACACATATCTCATAGTCTTATTATCAATCTGTTGTGTTTGTCTTCAGGCAAAACTAACCAAAAACTATGGTCTCACAAAGATGGATCCATATGTGAGGATAAGACTTGGGCACTCAGTTTTCGAGACACCAACAGCATATAATGGAGCCAAGACCCCACACTGGAACAAAGAGGTCACTGTGTAGGTATTGTAACTCAACAACAAATCTGTTAACAATCAGATTTACTTTATTCTGTTCTATAATAATACAATATACAGTTAACTCTTTGTTCCTTTTGACACACTGCAGTTTACTTGCAGTATCCTACTACAAATACACTATAAATCCTAACCTTAACTTAGACAGAATGAAGGATTTGATTCAAAGGAGTCTCCATGATTCATAAAAGAAATATTGTTGAAATTATATCTATTTTAATTATTTTCTGAAGTAATGTAGACTTTGTTTTGGCAATATATAGGATCTTACATGAGTTTCAATTTCGTATGAGATTTTAGAAACGAGTCTTAATTTTTTTCAATTTAGCAAGCCTCTGTGACGAGTTTCATAAATTTCTTATGAAATGAAAAACAAGTGTTAATTGCATTTATTGCTGCCAGCTCCATAAGAAGCATTTCACAAAGTCTTCTAGTTGACAATTAGCAGTTTCAGATGTCAAATAACTTTTTCCCTGATATATGAAGGGTCAAAACACATCAAAGAGGCATGGCTTTTCAAACCCAAAGGTACAAACTTATACTTACAAGTCAAAAACACTCTCAAGAGTTGAGGATCCCCATCCCTCCGCCTAAAAATGTTATGAGGCATTGGGTGTTTTTTTCTACGCGCATCGCTATTGCATAACCAAATCATTTCTGAACAATAACCCATACCTTGCGGTAGTTTCTTGAGATTTTTTGGGATATTATGAATTTTCGGAAAAAAAATCTATTTTGTTTTTCAATGGAACAAAATGAAACAAAATACATTTTATTTGATGCAACAATGGTTTATTAGAAATAAAACACATAAAAAATAATAACAATGTCAATATTGATGAACAAGCACACACAAAATGAGTAATTTTCTAACAATAATACTAAAACAAACAAAAATTCCCATTACATGAATCAATAAAATTTTGAGTGCCAATGCAACACGTTTAGGACAACGAAACGAAAATATAGGTGACAAAAAATAAATATCTTGCGGACTTATTTATTATACAAAAAATTATAAAGATACAAAAAAATAAACAAAAAAGAGAGACAACTCTTACATTTGTACCAATAATAATTATAAATCACAAAAAGTCATATATACAATTTACAAACATACAATATAGCACTTTTTATATACAAATATAATACAGTAGGCATTACCAACCATTAAAATTACTTCAAATAACCAATATAAAACAAAATTGCACATTGTGTATGAATAACATTATAACAAACAATGTACTTTACTGTGTCATAGCAAAAATGTCACAATGAACAACAATAACAAAGTTTCACATACTTAACACAACAAAAATAAATTTCTACATAATAGGCAAATAACATACCATGTTGTGATATAAAAAAATCATGCTATATACAACAATAATAAACTTTTACATTCTAAACAAAACAATAATAAACTTTCACATTATGTACAGATAACAACATACCATATTGTGATATAAAAAATGTCACACTATATATAGCAATAATAAACTTTGTCATAATAAACAGATAACAACACATATTGTGGTTTAACAAATATCACACTATACAACAATAATAAACTTTTACATTATGTACAAATAACAACATACAATATTGTGGTATAAAAATATCCCATTATAAAAATAACACTGTCGTATGTAATATAAAAAATGAACTTGAAATATAGGCCTATTGGGTATATACATGTAATAACAAATATAGAATATAATTCTGACTATTGTGATGTATAAAATACTTCCCAGTCCAAAATGTCTTTCCTGGTGGGGTATTGCACAACCGTAGCCTAGTACCGCATTCCTTACAACCTTTCTGGTCCAGGTATTCAGATAACATCGCGAGTTCAACCACTCGTCTACCATGCGACCAGGTTAAAAAGTTATTGACGTATTTGTGATCACTAGTACTGGAGGGATCATCATAGGACGTCAGTGTCGGCTCATCAGTAAAATTGCCAGTAAGCTTAGTAGGGGCCTCAGTAGCCAGCATCTCTTCAATGAGTGAACGAGTGTCACTTTGTTTCGTTGCATAGTCATGGTCTAGCAGTTGATATTGGACATCGTTGTTGTTATTATTGTCAGTTAATGCGTTTAGTTTACATTTCAAACGGCCGATTTTACGCCGGGTTTGGATGCCGGCCATCACCGCCACGACGTTGTTTACATCGTTACGACAGCTTTTTTTACCCACACTTTTGCGATTGGAGATTTTCAACGCAAGGGACACAACTCTGTACTCGAAACGTTATTCAAACGAAATCTATTCAAGAGAAGATAACAACATTGTCGACATGGTAATCAGGGGCAGGTGACTCTAACACTGAAAAACGACGGCGGAAATCTTTAGTGTTTTGCTCTGGCTGGGACGGGGATCCTTAACTGAAAAGCCTTGCCACAAAGGCCTGTATGGCATATGCATTCATTTGGGGCCTAGGGTTATTATGTGTTTAATGAATAATCAAATGATGAAATTAGTTGCAATGTTATGTTTCTTAGTTTTAGGTTTTTTTTAAAATTAATTTTAGTTAAATCTCACTTTTACGTTTTTAGGGCAAGTTTGTGAAATGCTTTTGCTCCATAAGCAATATAGAATTTCTTGTTTGGCATTAATTTGGGGTCTAGGTGTGATATGTGTATAGGGATAATTAAATGTTCGAATTTAATTTAATATTCCGGAATAAGACCATATTTTGGACTTATTGTTTTTGCATTAAAGCTCACTTAAAAGTTTTTGGGTAAGCTTTTGAAAGGCTTCCAAGTCCACCTATACATACACCTTGTGAACATATATATATTATAAATTGCAGAATGGATTTTTGATTAAGATTTCCGACCTTCAGTATCAAATTTTATTTTTAATTTAAAAGGAAATCAACTTTAATGCATTTTGCACCTGTTTTAAGAAATGTGCTAGGCTAACTAAGCTTACAGTTGTCTAAGAAGTGGGTCATCCCTAGACTTCTTTATATGTTACTTTGATTATCTAAAAATTGTTTTTGAAGTAACTTTTCAAAACTCAAATGTAAGCATGTTTCTATGACCTTTGGTTATTGCCTGTGAGATTCGGAATCATTGATTGTACTTTTGATGTCCCACAATAACTCCATGTCCTAGTTTGTGTCTTAATTTATTTGGTGGCCCGCTGGGATTATTGTAGAAGAAATATGGTATTGATAGGAAAATAAAGAAGATATGAGTTCCAAAACATTTAGTACACAAGCTTCATAATCTTTTTTTTTCATTCCTTTAGAAAAAATAATATACATGTATAGGATTTTATGTGAGAATAAGGAAAGTATTTTGGTATGTTTTGTGTACTTTTGTTATCATAATGTTTCTCTATTTATCTAGGTACCTTCCACATGGTGTAGACAGTATATATGTAGAAATATTTGATGAGGTAAGTAAAAGATTTTTATCAGAAGTTGTTATTTTGTTTTCATCTTCTATAGAAACACATTGGTTTTAAAAACTGTGAATTTTGTGAACCAGCGGATATCAAATATGTTGTTTCTCTTGTGAATTTACAATACCTTGTACATTTGTTTGATACAAACTACACTCTGCTTAATAAGATTCATAGAAGTAGTGATGCTGACACCCTTAGTAATATGTAGAACATCTGTATGTATTGCTGGCAGTTTGTTTTTTAATGGCTCTTCACGTGATGTCCCTTTAATGATCGTCTTCTGTATGCTTTGTCGCTGTGGTTGAGTTATCTCTCTTGTCATGTAAAGGACCACATTTTGTGTGATTTACAGAGACAATTCACCATGGATGATAGAATAGCATGGGCATACATAACAATACCCCAGGGAGTGCTGGGTGGAGATACAGCGGACAACTGGTTCCCCCTCAGTGGGAAACAAGGCGACGAGAAAGAGGGCATGATCAACTTAGTGATGACCTTTACAGTGAGTACTTGTTTCACATACAGATAATCATGACCTTACAGTGAAGTACACAAAACAGTCAGCCTTGTCATGACCCATGTCATTGACTATACAATGCAGACAACCTAATCATGGCCTTGACTGTGAGTACACAATAATATTTACAAGGTACTTAAGTTTTAACTTACAGTGAAGACAAAACTATTTGTCAACTTTTCAGAGCCCCTTTTTACAATGTACATACAAGACACAGGTCATATTTTGTTGTATGATATCCATATTATCACACTTGGACTTTATTTGCAGCCTGTGGAAAATCTGCCTGCATCAGCACCCACATCATTTGCATATCAACAGCCTATGGTTGTTCCGAACATGTACTACACAGCACCAGTGGGTAAGTGTCCACGTACCAGAGGTTTCAGATTAAATTAAAAGCCATTTGATGAAAATTTTGATTGCAAAAACTCCGTGAGAATGTTTTTCTCTTGTTAAATGAAGAAGCGGTGACATGTATTAATGTTTGTGTTGTAGTTTACCCAGCCCCAGGCCAACAACTCCAACAGCCCCGCCCCCAGTCAGCTGGTCAGCCCCAGACTCTTCCGCCTCAAGGCCCCCTCTACACCGAGGATGACCTCAAACAGGTCAAGGATATGTTTCCTAATATGGATGAGGAGGCTATTAAATCCGTTCTGGAGGCAAACCGTGGCAATAAAGACACCACGATAAATGCGTTACTGCAGATGAGTGCAGAATAATCAAATTGTGGATCTGGACGTTATTGTTATGAATATTTTCTTTTGCATACATATATTGTGTATGTATTCTTTGTAAGACATTTTTTATGAAATATTTAATTGATGCTGTTACCTGCTTGGATTAACCAAAATGAGTTTATATTGACCTGGAGATCCTATTATCATTATTTAAATGTATATTAGTGTGCAATATATGTTATCAAAGCGTAGATTAATAACAAATGAAGTAATACTTCATAATATATAGAGTAACTATAGCAACTGTAGGTACCTAAATGGAGTAATTTGCAAAGTCCAAATTTTGTGCACAATTAAACTAATGCTCACATATTTAATATATTGCAAAGTTTATTTTGTCTAATTACCTTAAATGTATTTGTTAATGACATAGATATGCATTATCCTTTTAACATGTTTAACAGGAATATGAATAGCAAATACGAATTTATGACTGAAAGTTACTTTACCAAAACTTCCTTTATGTAACCCCTTTCACGAAATCAAGAAATCCAGCCAAAATATTATACCTCTTATTGGGAAAGTTGTTTGTTTCTATCATAAGTGATATGAATTATCTGTTCCATAATTGGTTGCATTTGAACGAATAATTGTTTGAATTCAACTTTTGATCAGTAAGGCAATGTGACCCCATGAATGACTGTAAAACGGAACAGGAAGTCACTTTATTTTGAGGGCTGCTAATGATACATATTAAGGATAGGTTTTAATTTTACACTAGTAGTGTATCGGTATAATGTCATGTCCGTATTTATATGTTAATTAAGCATTATCATTTAAGCATGTGTTTTCATTCTCTGTAAGTCCATGTAACCCTATATAATGGCGGCTTATTTATCACAGAATACAGTTAACACCTCTGTGTCATCTGTCAGTGTCGGTTGTGAGAGGAAAATATGACAAACAAAAGACTGATTTTTTGTGAAATTAAACAATGGTGTATGTAGACTGTTTTAAGGATACAATCTTGCAATATTACACTTTCAACTCCTTTTCTAAACATGGCTAGGTCAATGAAATACTTTTTTAACAGCTGTTTGTTTTATTATTTTGAAACATATTTTAAGGTTTGTATAGATACATGTATATTGTAGATATGTTCATATGGGACAACAAATGCTGATATCCTTACATATTGTTATAACTTTGACATTGTGTACTGTCCCCTCCACCAGACAGTGACCAGTAACATATATTTACTAGTATACGTACCATCAGCTGTTAATCACGTACGAAATTACTTAAGAGTCTGCAAGTAAATTCCGCTATGCTGTGTAAAGTACCTGTGGCCACTTGTATAAAACATCTTGAAGTTAAGGAAAATCTCAAGCAATGTATTGTCTATGGGAAATCTTAGACTTGAGGAAATCTCAAGAGTTGAGATGTTTTACACAAGTGGGCCCTGGTCATTGATAAACGAGAGATTATGGACTTTCTCAGCTCGAATCAGACCAGTCCCACTGTGTCGTTTCCAGATGGCTTCCTTTATCTGCTGCTTGAACAGGCTGCTTTCTCTGTTCACCACTTTGGTGTTGTTAATTTGCGTCTCTTTAAGGTTCAACAACGTGGTTTTTTTTGTCTACTTTTTCACACCTTGCCAAGGCATCAAATCGGACCTGTAGGCCAATACAATATAAGTTACCAATATTGTTTCCGTACATTTCGATAATTTACACAATAGAATATGACTTTAAGAGAAATTCATGTCATATGCATCACATGAGAGAAAACTAAAATTATATACAATATATATAGAGGAAAATGGTGTTTTATGCAAATGTTATATTATAGGAAATGTGACATTTAGTAATGTAACCCTTTGAGGACTCTCCTGTGATTCTTTTATAAATTGTCAAGTGATGTCTCTTTTATATATATATATATATATGCAATGTATACCATATATTCTTCTTTTATTAGATTATTTCTGTAGTTTGGAATTTAAAGTAAAAACTTGATTCTAGATAAAGAAGACATAAACGAGGTCATATCAAACAAACCTTAAGTATCTTCAGTAGTTATGAATGCGTCTAAAGCAACATTGACTCTTTGCAAGAGTTATCTCCCTTCTCGTACTAGAAATGCTATAGTTTGCTATTTTGTTAGAGAAGTAATAAGTAAAATAAAAATATTTAAACTTGTTAATTTTATTCTATCTATGGCATACAAAAACCAAGTTGAAAAAAGTTTGTTGTGTGTTCAATGTAGGGATCATTTACAAGAAATATTGCCCTATTATGCTGCTGATCTTTGTTTTTCATCGATTGGATGTTTGTTATAGACAGTATCTGAAGCGATGAAGATATCTGAACCATACCTAGAAAGCTATATGACAGTCTTTATGTAGAAAAAAAACAGAAGAAAAACTTATGAATGTGTTTATGTTTCCTTGGGAAGCTGCTGGTAAAGTTGTTGTATTTTAAAGTTGAACTTGGTATTTAACTTGGGTGAATCAAATGGCATTGACAGTTATAACTGATAACAACACAAGAGTGCTTTTCTGTGTGAGTGATCTCCCTTCATTTGTAGTGGGTAGAAAATCGAAATATTTATCAGCGTACATATTAGTAGACTTGACTATGTATATTAGTATGACTAAAGTTGCCTGTGTATGCTTAATCGAATCAACCTAGTACTAATTTTTAATAACTTAAACTAAATTAGTCTCTTTTTCATTAAACATTTTTTGTTCTTATTTTGTTTAGAGATAAGGATGATTTGTAGCTTCTTGTGATATTTTGTCATTGGTGGAAAAAAGGAAACGTTGATAACCCAGTTGTCTGTCTGTTAGATATGAACAGATTTATCCTGATTGTGAATACAATTATTGATTTAAAAAATATTAAAAATATGCCAATCACCTAATTTTGGATTATTATTTAGTCTACCATTACCAGGAGCATTCAATCAATTTAAACCATCAGGGTTTGGGGTTGTGTTAAAATAAGAATAATGTGATACCTTGATTAAGAAAAACACCAGTAGATACAATATTGACAGACATAAGGATATCTGAAACCTCCGCATGCTTCTCTCTATATCTGGGATACCTTGGTTAAATATTGACAGACTTAAGGATATCTGAAACCTCTGCATGCTTCTCTCTATATCTGGGACACCTTGGCTAAAAAAATATATACAATATTGACAGACTTAGGATATCTGAAGTCTCTGTGCATGCTTCGTTCTGGATCCCTTGGTTATTTTTTTTTTTTTACATTATTGACAGACTTAGGGATATCTGAAGCCTCTGCATGCTTCTCTGTATCTGTGATACCTTAGTTAAAACAAAAATACAAATATTGACAAACTTAGATATATCTGAAGTCTCTGTATAATTCTCCTCCTGGATCGGGGATACCTTTGTTAAAAATAACTAAAAATAATACATTATTGATAGGTTTGGGGATATCAGAAGATTCTATGTATACTTCTCGCTGTATCTGCGATACCTTTGTTAAAAACGAAAACAAAAATAAATACATTATTGACAGACTTGGGCATATCCAAAAATTCTGCCTGCATCTCTCTTGATCTGTTTTAGGTTATTGTTAGTATTGTACATTTTTAATTACCTCTTCCATTGCGTAGGTTTTATAATCTTAAACCACGACTTTTATGAACTTTTTGGAAGTGATACAGATCATATTTTTGTCATTCATATTGAAATATACAAAATGATAATTACGATAAAGAATGAATTGTCATCGTTTGGCAGTTTGTATGTTTGTATCAACATTTCGACATCCCAGACCATTCAATTCTGTCTACACTGATGGTATTCTAAAAAATAAATGCTATCCATCTATTTTTAAATGCTATCCATCTAATTTTCTCTATCATGACCTAGTACTCAGTACCTTAAACAATGAGAGGAACACTATATTTTGCAATGCTGCTCCTTGTTGATCTTTGGAAGTCAAGTACGAAATGCAGTCATCTTGACATTTCAGCAATTCAACTGAATACAGTGTTTAGTTTGGAGGAGGACCTTAGAGGAACCATTAGATGGTCAGCTTATTCGAACTGCATTACATTCGCTTCCTCTCTCAGATGACGAACGTAACTTGTTTGTGATTGAAAAACTTGGAATCAAATGGGTTTTGATAACAAAGAAATTATTGGGGAACTTTCGAAGTTGAAGAACGGTGGTATGTAAGATTCGAGTGACTGGTGCATTAATTCTTTGTTGGCAAAATCGATTTTATTCCAATTATTTCTTTGTGATCAAAACCGATTTGATTCCAATCTTTTCAACTGAAACAATTTTCAACATCTGAATTAAGATGACATTAGAAAGACTCCTCCTTAAGGAAAGTCTGTTTATACATCTCTAGACAACTATGATCCAGCTGGGTCATCCATCATGTAAAACAACGAGCGCTTGTCATGACGGGTTCAATGGATGGAGACACTCCTATCACTACAGTGTATTGTCTGTAATTTCAAGATGCAAATGGACTCTGTTGAAATCTACGACAGACACTTAGCTAACAAAAACATGCTGAGTTGTATTCACTTTCAGAGAGGTTGAAGTATATCAGGTTTATTACCCTAAAACATAATAAGCAGCTTGATATCCAAAATGAAAACTCAATACAAGGTTGTATTTCTTGCCAACGATATTCAAACCACACTAAATTATTTTCAGGAAAAGTACGTGTTTGTTTCGACAGACAAAATATTGAATAACATGATCCTTGTCTGCAATCATTATTACATTTACCATTTCACTGTGATTTGTAAAAGAGGTAGTCTTGCTTGATAAGCCACGAAACCCTACATTTATTTTAATACATCGCCCTTTATTTCGAAAAACAGAATACTGGCTAATCGTGCTTGTATATATATATATTACGATATATCCGAATACCTGTTTATGATTGGGATACTGACATGTTTTGGTTTTTAGCTCACCTAGCACGAATTGCCAAGTGAGCTTATGCCGTGGTGCGGCGTCCGTCGTCCGTCCGGCGTCAATATTTTACTTTAAACGACTTCTTCTTAATAACCGAAAGGCCTAGGATAATGATATTTGGCCAGAAGCAAACTAGGACGAAGGGCTACCAAATTAGTTCAAATAAATGACCTTAACCCATTATCAAGGTCACAGGGGTCAATTGTCTTAAAAAATCTTTAAACAACTTCTTCTGAATAACTTAAAGGCCTAGGATAATGATATTTAGACAGTAACATGCCAGGATAAAGGGCTACTCAGTTTTGTTAAAATGAATGACCTTTACTTATATTCAACGTCACAGGGGTAAAATATGTTTAAAACCTTTAAACAACTTCTTCCCAATAACCAAGAGGCCTAGGATATTGATATTTGGCCAGTAATATGCTGGGATAAAGGGCTACCACGTTGGTTCAAACAAATGACCTTCATCTATTTTCAAAGTCACAGGGGTCAAATATGTTAAACATGTTTTAAAAATTTCTTCTGAATAACTTAGCGGCCTAGGATAATGATATTTAGCCAGTAACATGCTAGGATAAAGGGCTACTCAGTTTTGTTAAAATGAATGACCTTTACCTATATTCAAGGTCACAGGGGTAAAATATGTTAAAAACCTTTAAACAACTTCTTATCAATAACCAAGAGGCCTAGGATGATGCTATTTGACCAGTAGCATGCTGTAATAGAGGGCTACAGAGTTTGTTCAAATTAATGACTTTGACTTATATTCAAGGTCACAGGGGTCAAATATATTTAAAACCTTTGAACAACTTCTTCTCAATAACCAAAAGGCCTTGGTTGATGATATTTAGCCATAGACATGCATGGATGAAGGGCTACCAAGTTTGATCAAACAAATGACCTTCATCTATTTTCAAGGCCACAGGGATCAAATATGGTTAAAACCTTTACACAACTTCTCCTGAATACCCAAGAGGCCTAGAACAATGGTATTTGACCAGTATCATGCTCAGATGAAGGACTACCAAGTTTGTTCAAACAAACGATCTTCACCCATTTTCAAGGTCACAGGGGTCAAATATGTTTAAAACCTTTAAACAACTTCTCCTGAATTTCCAAGAGGCATAGGCTAATGATATTTGGCCAATAACATTCTGGGATGAAGGGCTACCAATTTTATTCAAATGAATTTCCTTCATCTATTGTCAAGGTCCCATGGGTCAAATATGTTTAAACACCTTTAAACAACTTCTTCTCAATAACCAAAAGGCATTGGCTGATGATATTTGACCAGTAACATGCTGGGATGAAGGGCTACTAATTTTGTTCAAATGAATGACCTTTGCTCATATCCAAGGTCACAGGGATCAAATATGTTTAAATCTTTAAATGACTTGTTCTGAATATTCAAAAGGTCAAGGGTAATGATATTTAGCCAGAAGTATGCCGGGACGGAAGGCTATAAACTTTCAAGGTCAAAAGCGTCGTATGTTTAGATCATTTAATAGATTCAAATGGATCGAACACAGATATTTTGCTTGTAGCTGTATTTTAGTCCACTTTTAAAATTACAAGTGTGAGATTAATACCAGGTGAGCGATTAAGGCCCATTGGGCCCCCTGTATTGGATTACGAATCTTCACAGGAATCCATATGCAAAACGTTGCATGTTAGGCTCTGCTAGCTTTTAAACCAAGCCAGTACCCTACTTCTTACTTACATTCTTCGTACCATTATTTTCAGGGTTAGAGTTATTACAGTAAGTTTTGTTTTTGATACTGTATACATAAGTGTAATTATTGGAATGTGGCGTTTGAAAAACTCGATCATTCGAACATTTTTGAACTTTCTTTCCTCAAAACTGTTTAGTTAACTTTTCTACACTGTACACTACCATATCATAAACCAAACTAAACTAAAGGAACGCATTTGTGCTCGTAAGATCACAGCTTTTATTTGGCAAGAAAAGCGAAAGGCGATCTAATATCTGGTTGTGAACTAGTTTTAGCAGGTTTTGTGAAAGCACGACAAAGGTTAAGAGATAATTCTACATTGTTCGCGATGTAACGACTCTGTTCATTGGTTAATAACCCATATATTATTGGATGATAGAGACCCTGCGCGTGCATGCGCTATTCGTCAACAGACCATGCAAGTGCAACACTCTTCCAAAGACCCCCATCTCGTTTTCTATAAGGATTGATAACATCTAGTTTTGAACCTAAAGGTGAAGTGACATGAAGTGTTCAATGCGTTGTATCGGGTAACATCCAATTTGTTATGCTTAAGGTGGAGTGACATTTAGTTTTCCATACTTCAAGTCGGATAAAATCCAAATTTAATGCAATACCTACCAACCCATGCACACAACCATAATATCATACCTACCAAACCACACTTCTAATTCTTACTTTCATACCTACCAAGAGACACTACCATTTCTTAATACCAAATCTTTGAATCAACAGGAGGTATCCTAACACCAAACCTACCAACACACACTACCATCTTCAAACACCAAACCTACCAACACACATTACCATCCTCTAACACCAAACCTACCAACACACACTACCATCTTCTAACACCATGCGTACCGATCAACACTTCCATATCCTTATACCATACCTACCAAACAACATTAATTTCTCATTATACCAAACCTACTGACCTACACTACCATCGTCTAATACCATACCTACAAATCTAAAATACGACCTCATTATACTGTACATACCAAACCATACTACCATCTATTAATACCAACCCACCATAGCATACCGTCAAATCCTCACTTCAATCTCGTTATACCATACCTACAAACTCAAACCTTAGCCTCTTTATACAATACCTAAACATCCACAACAGCATTTTCTTATACCAAACCTGCCAGCCCACATTACGTAACAACTCCTACAGCTAACCTTACTACTATTTTC